TTCCCTGCTTTGTCCCTTCCCTTGTTTTCCTTTTCTAATTTAAACGATATCAGAATAGGAAGGAAGAAGGCAGAAAAATACGACTTTCCTGTTAGTGGCAGCAGCCCTATTCTGATGATACCGGCCCAAGGGAATTCCTGCGGGCGACATGCTGCTGTTGGACAAAGCTAATGTAACACATCACCTCCATCACCTCCAACACATGCCCTTCTTGTCCTTGACAGGGGAACTTGAGTGCTCAATTAAACTCCCTAAAATCTATTGTAAGTGTAGAGAGGGTGAGGAGAAGGCTGGGATTGAAGGCCTGATATTTGCTGCTGGCTGTTGGTCCCAGTATACCACAAAGCATAAAGAGGCCCAAAATCTTGTCCATGGCAAAGAATGCCTTCAGCAATACAAGTAACTCTAATTCTGAACTCTAACGTGGTGCAGACTTGGCATGCAGATACCCTGACTCTCAGCAGTCAGGGTTGGCTGTGTCTGTATTAACATTAAAATGCAAGAGCTCTTGCATTTTCTGGGCTGAGCAAACTGCAGGCCTGAGAGGATGATTTTGGCTTCCACATTTATGGCTTCTGCATCCTCTCTATTTTTCTGCAGTCTGGTGGCAGACAGAAGCAGACCATGGAGCAGTCCATAGACCAGCTGCTGGACCACACTGCTCTGAAAGGCATGTCAAAAGCAGGAAATAGGAGGTATTAGTAGCCTTTTCTCAGAGCTCTGTGCATAGGCAACCTTTCATTTTTCAACTCTCTTTTCACACCCCAGGAGCATGTGAGAAAGAAATCTTTCACATGCACCTTTCACATTGGGGGGAAAAAAAAAGGAAAAAGATGACTAATCTATGAAATAAGACAGGCCCTCTGGTATTCACACTGTTTTTCATAGAACTCTCCAATTAAAAACTTTTCCTGACTTTGCTTGGGACACAGTCATATTCTTGTGTATGTGTGCATACATGTCTAAATAGTATTATTATCCCCCTTACAGAAGGCTCTGCTCTGAGCTGCACAAAGAAGTGTTAGATAGAACTACTGGAAACTTTTAATCATATGAGTATAAACTCCAAAAGTCTAAATTTGTAGCAAACATTCAATTTTAATGAATATGAAAAAGTATGTGTTCCAGAACAATGCCTGACAGAAAAACTCAGACACTTCTTTCTATTTCCTAGAAAAAAAAAAAGTAAAAAAACTTTTTTTTTTCCTAGCTAACTGTATGTTCTCTATAATCAGACCCACACTGTGATTCTGATTGTTTTGATTAATGACTCAGGTACTTTCTTTTGCACCATAATTCTCTCACAGCCCCACATGCATTTTTCTGAAAGACAAGTTCCAGTGATACAGAACTAGTATCTATTCGCACAATTCCCTGTCTGTGCTTTCACTGGAGGTATACAAGTATGACTTTCTTAGACTAGAGTGCATCTTATCCATTATACCAATCCTATGGGAGTCCAAGAAGTCATTATTAATTTATATTAGAAACTACAAGCATCATGTCTCTTCAAATCCTGCTGGATTTGATTTAATGCTGTCAAAGAACTGGAAAAGAACAGGAACACCACTGCCATACATGACTCTTAGCAACCTGTGTCTGCAACTGGCCATCTGCAGTGTCTCTCCTTATGACCTTTCTCCCTTTTTGAAGCTTTCTGAAGCATTTTACAATACATCCATTTAGGAACTGTAAGATCACAATGATTTTAAAACTGCTTGGGAAAAAAAGTAGGTATTCTTATACTCTTTTAATGGACCTTCTAAGGAAGAATAAAAGTGTTCTTAACGTTCCTTTTTAAGTATTCCAGTACTTTTTCTACAGTCTGCAGCCTCTAGAAAATACTGCTTTAGTATTTAGTAAGAGAGAGAGAGAGAGAGAGAAAGAGAGAGAGAAGTATGTGGGTTTCCTGTCATAGTTTCCTACTATTATTAAGTTGTTCTGATATTCATTAATTTCACCATGAGATAAAGAATATTTTCAAGGAAGGAAAGTGACACGGCTTATTCTTGGCAATGTGGATTTGTCCCTCTCTTTCCACTAGGTGTCTCTGCTTTGCTACTACAAATCACCCTACAGCTATACAGGGAAGGTAAAAATCTGGTATTGTAACAGCAGCTGACCTCTTATCTAGCTGCAATTGGAAAACAGTGTGTAGCATTTACATCCTTTGCTCTGTGCTGTATTGAACATCAAGTAAAAAGACCTATAACCAATACATCTTTTTATCTTACTCGCTTTCCACAATGCATTGAAACATTTTATTGGAAAACATCCTCTGTCTTTCCATTAACCTAAATCTCTACTGGACCTTGGAGGAAATAGTCTGTTACCATGGAGAAGAGAAGGAGGCATCCTGAATATAAAACTGTTGCTTCTAAGATGTTATTGGTGAAAACAGGGATCTACAAATTCCTGAAATTTAGCAGTGAGAAATCATTTCAAAAGCAGGAGTTGTTTGTCTCCAGACAATATTTTAGAATTAACAGTATTCCTTAGCCCAGCCAGACAGTATTTCATTTGTTTTATAGTGGGGAAAGAAATCTCACTCCGGCATACTCACTTCCTGCTGGATCCCTCTAAAAGTCAAGATTTTGAAAAAGAACAGGTAGGATTCTGCTCTCTGTAGGATATTATCACGGTCAGGAGGAAAACAGATGTTCCAGCCTGACTTAAATGAATGAAGATTAATGGCAAAATACAGCTCATAAAGAATTGCTGAAAACCAAATTTACTCCCCCTTCATTTACAGTAGTGGAGCACAACGGCCAGTTTCATAGTAAACTTCAGTCAGATGGGAACACTGGAAAACCAGTTATAATTTCCAAAATTTCCAAATCTTAAATGGAAATACCTCTAGTCTGACTCTTTTTTTTTTTTTTTTTCTAATAAAATTCATGCAGCTCAGCAACAGCAAGATCAACAACTAGAAATTCCCAGAACAGGTCTACTGGTCAGGAATTCACAGAAAGAACATTAGGAGAAAAGATCCCTCAAGATGCGGGAGACCTGCTTTCATGATTTTTTTCTGCAAACAAATGACAGCTTAACTGTTGACTGTTAATGTAAGGCACGCTAGATTTTGCATGAAGTAATTCTGTTTTCATTAAGCTGCATAAAAATTAAATTCTTTAGTCTCATAGAAAGTATTACTCTAAGTTCTCACTGCTCTGTGGCTGGATCTGTTTATGTTCCATGTTACCATCTAAAAACATGGTGTTTTTACAGGTCTGTATCCTGGCAAAGGTTTGAATGGGAACCTCARTTCCTCAGCATCTTTTCTTGCACCCAACTGCCTCGTGTCAGTATGCTGCCGCCTATGGATTTGTGGGTATGTGTTCTGTCCCACTGACACCCGGGTGCCTGGTTCCAGTAGGGAAAAAAATATTGAGCAACCATTTTTTATTGCACTGCTGAGTCTAAGAATGAGTCTGAGATAGCTTGGATTTAAATGTCTGCAATAACACCCTAGGGACTAAAGCCAGCTACAGGGAAAAATGTGTAGCCAGTCCAGGCAATGAGGTCTAGAGAGCCAGTCAGGTGACAGATAGATATGTACATACACTTGCTTAAGATGAACTAAATAGCTCTGAGATATCCTGTCTGTATATACCACATCTTCACTGACGGTATTGGGAGTTTAATTGTGTAGTTCATATGTAGATATTTACATTTTATCTTCACATATGTAGACATTTACACTTTATCTTCAATAAAGTGAATTTAATCCTTTTCAAAATCTCCTTCTCATCCTGAACTCATCCCTGATAATAATTATCAGGAATCCTTGAATCTTTGAAAAGTGTATATATCCTATCTTAAAATGGAAAATAATCTTTATTTCTTTGCTCTATATTCATATTGGAAAGGAATTAATATTTATGAAATGCATTGAAGACAAATGCTGAGCACTATTACCCTATTGATGACTACTAAATTAGAATTCAACTTACACTTCATTACAATGTCTTTTGCATATGGATGAATATTGTTTTATTTTGTGCAGTGGACTTAATCTTCAAGCAGCAGTATAGTAAACATCTTACTATCATCTACTTACTATAATCCACTTAAATCTGAACATGGGATATAAGGCACAGGGAGCTGCTAGAGACACTATGCTTGCCTGGTATAGAATATTCTTGACATCTTGACATGACCTGATTTTAGATATTTAGACCGTGCTGTCTAATAATCGAGGTGCTGAAATCTCTTTTGATTGGTTTAAGGGGAATAAAATGCCTAAATATCTTTGAGATTAAGGGATGATATTGGCACCAAGATCCTGCAGATGACATTGATGTAAACTCTAGTTTTGTGTGAGTGAATATTTCATCAGTGTCGAGCAAGTAGAATTGTGAGGTACCTGAGACCTCTCTGTTTGAGTCATTCTGTTTGAAACAGAATGGAAAGAAAAATTAAACATATTAGTTCAATAATCATATGCAGACCTATACTAACAATATTGTTTTATTAAAAATACTCCCAGAATATAACCAGAGTGAAGAAGAGATGAAAGAATGAGTTCTTCATAGAAGAACCACTAATCCTTATAATTCTTCACTAATGAAAGCCCTTTCTGTCCACATTCAGTGTCCAAGAGATGCTGCACAGTCTTGCAAGCTACTTCTCAGATTCTTTGCATATCTGATAGAMGAGTATTCCTAAAGAAAGGTGAATACAGTCAAAAAAGATCTTAACTCTTTCTCTTAGCTCATGACATACAGCTACTGGAAGCTTCCGGCAAATTAATAAACATAAAAGAAAGCCAGAGCAAATTTACTTAGTAATTTTGTTTTGTATAGTTATTGACTGTGGCAARCTGTAGCAAAAAAATGCCTTACTAAAACTGAGCTCAAATTCTAGTACCTCTGAGAATCTTTTCCGTAAGGAAAATGTTTTGAATCTCATAGTTAAAACTACTAGAAGATGTGTTATCCACATTCCCCTTCACATTTAAACTTACAAAGATAAGTGAGATGAGGTTTTCTGTACTATACCTGTACAGATGAAACTTGATAGTCCTCCATAGATGACATCATCGTTGTCGGGTAATATAAAGGGACACCTTGTCTGAACCTCCAAACAGTATTGCTTGCAAGGAATTCTGTTGCTGCAGTGAAACTGTGTGACTTCAAAATACTGGGAACAGAGCCAGGCTTTGTAGACAGTCTGGAAAAAGAGAAGAATCAGAAGTATAGATGGATGACAATAGCACTGTCATTACTAGAAGTACACGTTGTACAGCACACCTACATTAACGTTGCTTATGAAATCAAATTCTAAGAGAGTATCGCCTGAGTAAAATAAACTCTTAAATTTGACTATCCAGACGTTTCAAAAATGAAAGCCAAGCTGTTTAAAATTATAGCTATTTAAAAGTGTTAGTCAGGGCTAGGCTAATGCTAGTATTTTATCTTGGCTTGCAGACAGGTACCTGTCTAAATTGCACCTTTCCATTGTGTACACTCACACAGACAATACCCCTAGCACTTAGCACTCTAGCACTTTAACTTCACAGAGAAACTCTGGTACTAATCCCATTTGGAATTCTTTGTGTGGAAAAATAGAAATAGGAGTAAAAGAAAGAATTTCAAATTGAGCTCAGGCCTGCTTAGTGTATATTGTGTAAAGCTAAGCCTTCAGGTCACGATAGATGGTGCTACTTCTCTTCAAATAGAGCCCTATCCAGTCCATACCATTTAAACATCCATTAGGGTGTCTGAACACTGATAGCTTTAGATTGGGGAATAAATCTGTAGCAGTGAGGGGGCACATACATCTGGGGGCAAAATGCATTATAGTTGTTTTTAGCTGACACTGTATAGCAATGGCATTAAAAAGTTGTGATTATCACTATCATAACTGTCATTGTTTAAACAAAGAACATAATAAATACATTGACTTTAATTTCTTTATCCAGTTCTCCTTTGAGCACACTATTCTCATAAGACTTCAGCTGAGTCTTCAAAACACAGACATGCTTCACATGGGTGATCATACAAAAACAGAACTGACACCAGTCAACCAAGGTGATAATACATCTGTATGACTAAGTACAAGGGAAATTTGCTTGTTCCACATTTTTATTTTCTACTTATCTATTTTGAAGTACATTATTTACTGGCTAGACAGTTGCTGTCTAGTTTGTTACATAATGAGAACTTCCTACATTCATTCAGAACCTTAGTAATTAAGTTTCTGAAGTTCTGCTTTTACCACAGGCTGAAAGGCAGTATAGTTACCTGATTGTTTTCCTTCTTTCTACATCTGTTTTTAATAATGAACACAATTTTTAGTACTGAAAGTTCAAAAACTGACACCTGAGAAGARCAATTTAGTAAAGGACTTGCTACAATTTCACAATTTCATCATATTTCATCCTGTTAGTTTAGTTTTTTGGTCTTTTTTTTTTTTAGTTAGTCAGTAAAGATTTAAACTGAATAATTAATTCTAGTGTAGTAGTTCCACCATCATAAACTTTTACTTTAGTTTGTTTGCAATGGCAGCAGGCATGGGTGATGTTGCTAGGTGATAAAGTGAACCCATTATCACTAATCTATGGTTTATGATTACCTCTTTATAGTAGCTCTTACCTATTGCACTCTGTAGAACAAGCATGTTTCCATTACAAATTCAATTTTAATTGCTTACACGGGGCTCTTATCTGCAATAAATGATYAATGAGACAGAAGAGTAGGCAATGTATGTACTTTCTGTTCTTAAATAAACTACATCTAAGCAGCAATTGTTTTTCCTGGTGTTGACTGTTTATCCCACCATATTTAATGGTTCAAATCCTCTATTGACATTTTCAACAAKGAAAGGAGTAAAGTAATTGTTTTTCTATTTTTAATTAGTTAGCAAGTATAATCTACTGGTAGGAAATAGGAACTTTGAGAGCAGATACATCTTCACACATGCTTCTTTCTATGTCCAACACTCTAGATGCATTTAAAATGGACTCTAATTTATTCCTTAAAAAATAAGATTGACATAAGAGCAATAAGGCATTATGAATATTTAAAAATTTATATCAGCCTACAGGGAGTGTATTGAACAGCACCTAATAGTAGATAATAAGATAACAGACAAAGTCAGTGTCTACATAAGCAGGAAATTAATGTTTATTCAAGAACAGAAATAAATAGCCTGATCATAGTCTTCCGTGAGCATTTTTACGTATCCACTTGCAGTTCATACATATCATCTTCCTGCTCTGATCTTTTCACAAGCCCTCAGGCTTTGACTGAAAATCACATTTGAACTATTGTCCCTACGCTTAAAGATTGCATTAGTCTATCTCCTGAGATCCGTTTCTCAGATAAGCACCTCCTGCTCTATATCCTCTTACATAATAACGTCTCTCTCTCTCTCTCTCGTCTACAATTCCTGTCAAGATTTTTAATATGCTGGTTCCATTTTGGGAAACTGTGCTTTTTTCTTTTTTCTTTTTTTTTTTTTTTGCCTGTCAGATTACAGAAAATCTGAGAAGATTTTCAGTGATTTGTCTGGATATGCAGTTATGCCATAACCAATTCTGTAGTGAGATACTGGTATTTATCAAGCCTTCTACTCCCATACCATACTCAGCTTCTTCCAAATAAACCTTAGGTTTGTTTTGTTGTTACATCTGCAGATGTAATTTGCAGCAGTTCCAAGAAGTAGTGGGTGAGGCATGTGCATCAAAGCAACCTAGATCAGCAATGCTGCAGCCCTTCTCACAGTGGTCTTCCTTTTCTTTCAAGTCTTTCTTTGGATTGGCATCAAAACCTCTGAGCAGCTGAACGAGTCAGTGGGTTAGAAAATTGCCAAACTCATACTTGGGTACTTAGATTTCAGCTGAGGTAGAATCTAAAGTCACATCTGAATAAGGAACTCAGGTCAGACTAAGGTTTAAGCACTGGTCAGTGATCACCTACATCACCGAGTTGGCAGCTCGCTGCCTCTGCAAGTTTTGGCCTGAGCTAGCTAGCACAGTCCCAAGGCGAGCTCAACCATGCAAGGTTTGGGAAAACTCATGTTCCAGGGACTACTACCAGTAAGTTGTTTTTYATGTGTGCAGGTGAACTATTTTGGACTGTATGGCCTCTTGGCCAGAGAACAGTCACTGCCCACTCTTATTTACTAGAAGAGACATAATCTAACAACTGCCTACTTTCACAGCAAGGATGTAATCTCTCCTGCTCTGTTAAGATATCTTAGAGGTTGTAGGCACCACAGCTTTTACACAAAACAAAGTTTTATATACCTAAAGATGTGCTACCCAGGAAAGTACTCAAGCTGATTTCTTATTTCTGTGCAACACTCATTACCCAGCACCCTTTGAATAAGGCCCGTGATTGACCACAACAATTAAGCAGACTCAGAGCTCCAGTCTTACTGGGGGATCTAGTACTGGTAAGGAATGTTGCTATAACTACCAAATCCAWAATGCTGGTCTTCATAATCTTAAAACATGCACATAAGGGTATAAAATCATCAATAACAATACATGTTGGCTTGTGCAATGACTCTGGTATGAATTTTGAAGCTATACTTTGATTTTTTTTTCTTAAAGCACATAAATGGCTAAATGCGAAGTTTTATTGTTATAGTAAATGTCCCTCTTATTATATATAAACAAGGTATTAGTTGCATTTTGTATACATATTTTCCCATTAATATTTTCCCATATCATTTTCATTGTATCATCTGAAGTTTTCAGATTTATTGCTCATCTGGATAGCGAAAATGTTACATATATTGAATTGTTCATGTCTAGTAAAAGCTATCATGTTGTTATCATGTAACAAAATAAAGCTTTTGTTCTTAGGCAGGTTTGAGCAGTGATTGCTCCAAATCAAAAAAAAACTAAAAAAAAAAAAATAGAATGCTATCATCACCTGTAACCTCTTAGCTGCCTCTCATGAAACAAAGGTCACATTTAGGCATCAAAAGATCATGTTTGTGTCTGTATGCTCATTACAGCTGAACTTGATGGTCTTTGCCAACCATAACGATTTTATGATTCACTTAAAAAAAAAAGGTTAATCTGCCTTATGCAGTAAAATCCAGGAAAACATTCAAAAACCGTGTGAGGTGACTCAATACTGCTAAATCCCATCCCTCTTTTCTAAAGTCAACTGTAGCTTTTAAGAACCAGGGCCTGCAATCGAGAGGCTTCTTGCAACTGCCTGCAGAAGGCCTCATCCACTTCCTCATCCTGATCAGAAGGCCTGTAGTAAATCCCACAATAGTGTTGCCCCTGTTGGCCTGAACTTTAATCATTACCCACAGACTCTTGACTTGATCTTCCTTCTCCCTTGTGCTGAGCTCGGTACATTCCAGTTGCTCTGACACGTAAAGAGCAACTCCACCACCTCCCCTTGCTGGCTTGCCCTTCCTAAAAAGCACAAAGCCATCCATGGCCACGTTCCAGTCATGAGAGCTGTCCCACCATATCTTAGTAATTGCGCTTAGATCCTGGCCCTGGAACCACATACAGATCTCCAATTCTTGTTTATTTCCTGTGCTGCATGTATTTTCTTAGAGGGATTTGAGTTGGACTCCCACTATGCCTCTCTTTCTAGCTCTCTTCTGCTGTGAAAGATTGCCATCAGTAGAACTGCAGGCACTCAAAACTTGAAACAAGAAAACAATCTATGTTTTCAGACAAGACATGATGCAGGAATGACATCACAGAAAAAATATGGTTAACTCCCATGTACAAAAACATAGCTATAACATCGCAGAAAGGTTTAGTGGCTATGAAAAGTGTACACCTTCCCAGCCCAACCCGACTTTTCATTCGTAGCCTTGTCCTATTCAGGTGTTAATTACCTGACATTATCTGATCCTGGTAGTTGCTTCTCTGACCTCTTTCCCCATTCAGACAATAACCATCAATAACAGTCCTGATGTCTGCATTCTAACAAGAAGATAAGGGCTTACTGAGCATATACCAGCCCAAACTGAGTTGAAATGAAAGAATAGCTATCCAGAATAGCCCTAAGTCAATCATCTTATCCCATAAATATAGGACATCCCAAGACCCCATTGAGCAGTCCTTACGTGGCAGTGGGCTGCATACCAGGATCCCGCCTTGAGCAGGGAGGCCTCCCAAGGGTACCCCTTGACTTAAGAGATCCTTGCCACAAAAGATCTGTGGTAAGTGACTATATATAGAATGC